GATTAATAATCCCTTTTCAAAGGGATTGAAAACCATTTCACAGTATGCAATGGTTTTAAATATTAAGTAATAATAGCAAATTGGTAACTTTTAATTTATAGAAATAAAATTTAAACCTTTAGTTTTGTAAAAAAGATTCTTATTTGAGATTAATAAGGAAAAAAATTTACATTGTATTCTACATCTACATAGTCTAATTTCTACTTATTTCTGGTTTAAAATGAACTGCCTTAAAGCAATTAACTGTAACTATTCATATTATCATAAATTCAAAGAAAATCAATTAAATAAAAATATCCATCAAAGAGCAATTAAAGATAACGCTACACATTAACTAAAGCAACAATTATAATTTAGTGAGAATTAACAAATTCTCAACAAGTGTAAAATAGGATTGCCTGTAATTTTATTTTACCTCCCAAAGAAATACAGCATGGGATAATAACTTATTAACTTATAAACACATACCTATCCTTGTGCCCCTTCATGATAGTTCTTAGCATCAATACATCACTACAAAATACATCAATACAAAATCTATGCTTTTCACTCAATCAGAATCTCTAAGCATTTCCTAAAAATGAAAAATGGACTTCAACTGGTCTTCAGAAAAATCCACTTTCTCATGTTTGTTTTCCCAACATTCAATAAATACAGTGTTTTCACTATACTCAATAGACAGCAAAGAAGTCGGTTAACTTATTTGCTTTGTACTACACACAGCTACCTCGGGTACATCAATTACTACCATGGCAGTTTTCACATATATATTGTAGATATCCTATCCCAGGAAATCTACTACTTAAAAAAATTCCTATATATGGCTGCTGGCAAATGAAGATGGGAATTGACACCTTTTTCTTTTTCTCTTTTTTTCCTTACAAAGAGCCTTTATTTTTTTCTTTTCTTATTTTTCTTTTATTTTATTTTTTGTACAGGGGTTTAAACCCAGCATTACTTAACCACTGAACCACATCCCTAGTCCTTTTATATATATATATATTTACAGACAGGATCTCACTGAATTGCTTAGGGGCTTGCTAAGTTGCTGAGGATGGCTTTGAACTCAGGATCCTTCTGCCTCAGACTCCTGAGCTGCTGGGATTAAAGCCATATGCCATTGTGCCTGGCAAAGAGCCTTTTTCTTTTTTTAAAAGATTGTTTTAGTGTGATTCAATATAGTAACATATTATCAATGCACTTACATTCATTCCAAAAACAAAATTATTTTTATATGTATTTTACACAAAGATTTTAACATAAAAAATTTATAAAAAGTATTACTATTTCTATTTGGGAGAAATCATGAGTGGTACTAAAGCAGGTGGCACAGAAACATTAGTAAACGAACACATTACAGAGTATTAAAAAAATTTATTTTCGAAAATATGCATTTCTAATTTAAATCTTAGAGAACATTAGAGAACTAATGAACATTAGACATTAGAGAACTGATGAAAATATGTACATATTAAAAGTTATAGACTAAGTATTGCTTAGAGAAAAATTTATAGATTTAAGCATGCATGTCAACAAGCTTGAACAATGATTAAAATAATTGAATTAAATACTTAACTCAAAAAATAGGAAAAAACAATAGGTAAAAAGAAGAAGAGAAAAAGCTAATATTATAAATATTAGTGATAGAAATACAAAATGGTTCTACACATATAGAAAGGAACTCTGGCATTATTTTCATAAATTACAGATATCTTTGGCTCAATAATACAAATTATAGCAAATTAACTTGAAGATATATCTAATCAAGTATGAAATTATGGGTTGGGATATTCACAATGGCAATGTAGATGGAAAACATCCAATATTCATTCATCAATGTACCAATGGAATAAACTCCAGTGCATGCACATGATTAAATAGTATGCAACCATGGAAAAAGTATTAGAAACACTATAATAAGTTGTTAAGTGAAAACACACACACACATACACACACACACACACACACACACACACCACAAAACAGTATTCAAAATATGCCATACATTATGAACTATGAGCACAATCCATGTTTTCTTAGATATGGGTAATATAATATGTATCATACACAAATGTTATATATGCCAAGATATACATGTTAAAGGGTAAATATATGCAATATGAAATATACAAAATATCCACAAATAAAAGAAAATGGGAGAACAGAATGAAGAGGACACAGACAATAATCTCTTTGAGTATGCCTTTTTAACAAATGGGAAAAGCAAGCTAATTTTAAATATCAAATTCATAACAAAATCATGAATTAAAAGACTTCAAATGATGTTTAATCACATCTCCTTGGGGGACATAGTGCGAGGACAAAAACAAATGCAAAGAAAGCTTAAAATTAATTTAGTAATTTTTATTAGTAGTAGTAACATTGTTGTCTTGAAGCTATTTTATGGATAAGACATAGCAAATGGGTTAATTTGTTGCCATAAACCAAGGATTACAGTAGAAGAGAGAAAGAAAAACAATAAAGTTTAAAAATTAATTTGAATTAGATATCAGTTTTGATATGTCCAATTTGAATTCACTGCACAGGACAATTACAACACCATAAAGAATAATCAGACAACTAACTGAAATAGTTTGAACTAAAAATTGGATTTCATAAGAATAATGCGGTGGGGTGGGGGACAAAGTAAAAGAAACAAAACTAAAAATAACACCCTGGAAGTAAATAGAGTCCTTAAGATCTTACTCTAAAAATTTGTCAATGAAAATTGATAGAAACAGATTCATGAATTGCTTCTCTTCCTCAATATAATCCCATCCCATTCCCTGATATTTAATCTGATCAGACTTTGTAATGACTATAGGATGGAGAAGGAGGATAGGATTTTACAATTTTGAGATTCAAAAATCTAATCTAATTGCTTAGTTGGTAGATAATTTCCATATATCTAAACCTTTCCTCTAGTAACAATTTCCACAAAGTTCTAACTAATTAAAGAATCTCTGCTTAAAAATTCTGGAAGAAATGATGAAATTAGAAAACTCACTTTCTATATCCCCATCACATTAATTTATACATATTAATCAATGGATGAAAGTTTTAGAAGGAAGGTTGATGGGGGACTTTATATTGAAGAATACGAGTTATTATCAGTTATGCCCCATGTTCAATCGTAAGCATCAATAAGGTAAACAAACACTGTATGACTGCTGATCTAATGAAATATGAAGCACAGAAAACTACCTAAGAAGGACTCCTGCAAAAGTAGCCAAATTTTTATTTAACCAGCTCTTTTGAGCTGACTTCATTACAGGAAATACAGGGCATAGTGAAATAATTTGATACCAAAAGAAAGTAAATGTACTAAGGCAAAATACAAAACATTCTATAAGAAAATGCAGGCTATGCAAAAAATAAATGGATTGGAAAAAAGAAGCAGTAGGATTGCTACAGATTAAGAGAGTTCAAAGGAATATATAAAAGCAATATTGTGGTTATTGTTCATATTATTATTCAAATAAACCAGGTACTTTAGAAAAATAGCAAAATTGGATTATGAATTATCAATTTATACATGGAATCATTCAATTTTATTAGGTGTCATAATGTATTGTATTAAGTAACAACAGACCATATTATTAAAAACTATTTTCTGAAATATGAGGGTATAGAAATACATGATTCTGGGAATTAGTACTTTAAAAAATTAAAACATAAGTGTGAAGCAAACATTGAATATAAGTAATAGTTATACAGAATGTCCGTGTATTATTCTACTTTAATAAATGTTTAAAATTTTCCACAGTCATAAAGAAAGACATAAACAAAAGCAAACAAACAAAAGTAATATCAGGATGCCCTACAGAGAAAAAAAATCAAGATACAGTGTGTTTATTTCTATTCCCCAATATGATCCCATCATATTCCTTGATATTTTAGTCTTGATCAAATTCCTAATGATTGTATGAAGGAGGGGAATAGGATGGTTCCTTTTAGGTCCCAAAAATGTAAGCTATTTGTATTGTTTGTATTTTTATCAAGATAAAGATTTTTATCAAGTTTTGACATTTTGTCAATCTTTGATTCTTCATTAACCATTATCAAGCCCCTACCAAAGCCCCTGAGAATATACCAAGACATTAAACAATAAAAATTAACAAGAGATTTTAAACAAGGTAGTGAATAACACAATGAGATTTTTATTTTAGAATTATTACACTAGAAACAATGTATAAGTAAGTTGAAGTTGAATTTCAGTGGGTAGATGAAGGAAGTTTGGGTGGTAAGAGATGAAACCACCACTATAACTCTTGACAATAAAGAGAAAGATGAAATAATTTGACAATAGAAATAATTTGACAATGCAGGTGATAAATGATGAACTAAGGTCCCCGATGGGAGTGAAAAGAATAGTTGTAGAAAATAGAAGTACTTATCTTTTATTTAAAAAGATATTTTAGTTGCTGAGTTACATGGATTAGAAGATGTAGGAAGGAAAAGATAAATAATTATAAAGATATAGTGGTGGAGGGACTCAGAAGTTTAGGCACATTCAATCAGATGAATTTTTTCCTGTGGTATGAGCAGTTTTAGCTAAAGAGGGAAAGTTCAGTACAAGAAATGTGTGCAATCAAGGAGAGTAGTGATGAAAGTGTTTACCAGGAAATAGTTATAACAATTTCTGAGAAGTGAGAAAGCACAGGATTCATAAAAATATCATAGCACCAAATTGGTGTTTATATGCTCTAGTTAAGCTAAGATCACTACTAAAAGAATGTTCCTATATGAAAAACATTAACAGAGAAGGAAATATACTAAGAGACTAGTCACTCATTTGCTAGAGATAGAATATATTCTTTTATTTACATTAAAAACAATTTTGTTTTTCTAATCTAAATTAAATAATATTAAATAGTTACATAATAAAACATATAAATTGGTAATGGTAGCCTGTTCTTAAAAAAGGAGTGAAACAAAATATAATCATAATGAATAAAAGTTTAAATGTTAAATAAGTATTAAAATTCCATTTTTCTTACCAATTCGAGTGATTTTATTATGCGAAAGTTCAAGATTCTGAATATTAGTGCAGCCATCCAAACCATGAAAGGAACTCAGTTGATTTTTATTAAGAAGAACAACACAGAGATTTTCCAAATTTTCACAGTTGATAGTCTCAATATAGTTTTCCTTAAAGAAAGAACAAATTTAATAAATTTTGTTTGAATGGCTCATTAATTAAATATTTAAAGCTTGCATAAAGAGGAAGAATGAGACTCAATCTCTAAATGAATACATGAATCTCAAATTGCTAAGATAATTATAAACTGTTTTACTATCTAGATGAAAATATTAAGTAATCTAATAATCAAATAATTTGAATTTAATTATTAATATTCTTTTTAAAATGTTGAAAATACAGAGGAAAATATAACAAAATATTTTGAACAACCTAAATGAACAAGAGAGAATATTTTATCATTGCTGTTTCTGCTGATGTGCATGGAAATGGCTACTGTAGTCAAGCAAGCACTACTTCACCATTTATATGGGTTTGAATGGAAGTAGATAACTTTTCATTTTATTTTGCAGATCTCTCAGGAAAGAACTACACCTCAGTGGATGCACCTAAGGAATTGCACCTGAGGAATTTCATCTCTAATTGGATCGGGTTTAGATAAGAAAATCCTGTGCTTCAAGCCTGGGTCAGATGACATAGATTGATACAATGATGGACATGAATGTATTTTGCTTGTGAGAGGAGGTGAATCATTAGTAGTCAGAGGGTAAATGTGATAGTTACTTTGATAACTCCAGTATTCAAAGATTCATACACTCTCCCCCCACATGAACATATGGCTTCCACAATAAAACATTAGCCATCATGAGGCAAGCAGATCTAAGCACTCTAAAAATAAGCCCAAAATAACTATGAGAGATTCCAACTTCCCAGACATCCCTGTCAAGGAATCACACATTAAAGAGAAGGAATTTTAAACAATCACCACCTAACTTCCATCTGACCACAATTACATGAGTCCCAGTCAACACAATATAAAATGGAAGAAATGTCCAGCCATCCCTGGTCTCAATTCATGACCTATTGAATAAGAAAATAAGATGACTGTTGTTTTCTGTAGTCCTTTGTTATGCAGCAAAAAACAAGCAAACAACCAAACAAAACCCCTGTATCATCTGCAAAAACAAAGAGAAAAGTAATTTCCAGGATGTACCACCTAATCATCTTTCTCTTATCCTTACAAACATAGAACCTTGATCTCTCTAGATCTGTTACAGGCTATTTTAGTAATCATTTCTTCAAGTTACTGAAATGTGAACATAAACCCATTTTATATTTTATCATAAAATAACTATTAAAACAGGGGACATACCTGTACATCAATGTACTTAAGTTTTTTGCAGTTATTCAGGCCGTGTAAAGAAGTTAATCCACAGCATCGAAGAGATAGAAATTGAAGATTTGTACACTCCGCCAATGTGGAGAGACTACAACCTGGCAAATCTTGGAATGTAATGGTTGTAACCTACAGAATTCAAGAAAACTTGGGTGAGTAACATTATTAATTACACAATATAAGCCATGTTAATGTTGTGAAAATGTTTAGAAAATTCATATAAGAAAAAAGACTGTATATTGAAATTAACATTTATTAACAACTCAATTTGCATAAAGCTATTTGGTCTCTTTTGGTCGCCCCCATAGAAAAACAAAATATGAAATCATCCATTACAAAATTCAAGTTCAAAAATAAAATACATAAAACAACAATATAATAATTTATTAGTTCAATCCCTGATTTTGTACCAAGTCCACTTATTTCATATTTTATTGCCCCAGACATCACATTACACCACATAAAAGTCTATGATCTGTGGTTGACAATATCTTAGAGATCCCTGGATGGTAAAGTCAATGGGAGAATCGTATTTTCATGGAATATAAAGAAGGAATATAGTTTGCTCTTTGCTTTTTAGCAAAAGCAATAATATATTTAAAACTTCAAGTAGGGTTTCTATTTTCATAATTACTTTAGGAATATCTCAACTACTCATAATCTAAAGCAATTTTAAAGCAAATTGTTTTTCATAAATTTTCAGAAAGAAAACATTCTTCTATATAACAATAAAGTATGCATTTCCTGTTAAATCTGTATGCAAATAAATATAACTTCTATAATTGGAAAACTTGCTAAGTAATAGTGAAAATGGAGGGCTTAAAAACTGAAAATTTGACTATTACAGTTATATATTAACAATGTTACTCCGCATCATAATTTATATTACCTTTCTGATTTAATAACATACTCTTTCAGCCAACTGCTTTCAATCAACACAATTAAATTCCAGTTATTTATGATGTAGCAATTTCTATAGTTTCATTTCATTACTGCACAGGAGTAACAACTATTCTTATTAGTAGCATCTATTGTTGAAATAGAAGAGTTTCCTAATATTTCTTCCTTTTTACTTAACATTTTAAACTGTCCTTATGGGATAACAATGTCTTCTCTACTGCACCCTAGATTTTTACAAACATATGATATAAAAATACATTTTATATTAATCATTTATTGATACATGTATGATAATAATCACATAGATAAAAGACCTTGTGCTCCAAAAATCAAGTTCAATACACTATTAGTAAACATATGCATCCATGATTGTACAATCAGCTTGAAAAACTGGGGCACAGAAGATGTTAACTAAGTTTCTTAGATTAGTTAATGAACAAACTGGCCCATAATTAGTGGCAAACCTTAAATATACTCATAGAATATGTAGTTTCTCTCCTTTTAAATAAAAACTTGAAAATTTTTATTTCATGCTCTCTGACTTAAAAAGAATGGTCCACATAGAGAACCTCTAAATCATTTTATTATATTTTATTAAAGATCACAAATAAAATTTCTATTTAATCAACTATATTATTTCCAAATCTTTAATAGCTAGTTGTAACCAAAATGACCTAAAACAGATATATGTGATAGATATATTATATTTATATGTCTGTTGTTTGTTATTTAGAGATTTCATTCTCAATTATTCTTGAGTTCAACCTAAAGTGTATCAGTTATTTATAGTAAACTGTAATTACAAAAGCAATGAAAGCAACAACTGTTTTTATATGTTTCTAAGACATTTTTTAAGTGCCCCAGTCTCAGATCTATTCAATAGGAAAAAAAATGCTAGTGTTTAAAAAATTAGCAACAAAGACAGCAAGTCTCAGGTATGATTAGTGGTTTACATGAACAGTTTGAAAATAACTTTAGTAATTCATGTACCATTCCAATAGCAGTCCATTACAATTTATTGTGTAAAAATGAGAAATGTTGATCTAAAAGTTAATTAGCAGTTAAAATGTTATCATTCATGCCAGGTATAAAGAAATATTAACCATTCCTTAAGCTCAGTATCCATTTTGTGGTGGTTGTTACTTACAACTGATTATAATTGGTAGCAAAATGCCAAAAAGAAAAGAAAAAATAATTCGTTAAAACACAAAAGCTAGGAAAAATAAAAACATCTATAATCATTGTTCTTCAGTAATTTCCTTTTGGTATATTATTACATATAGTGAGATGGTATAGTATTTTCAGCTGTATAACTTCTTAGATGAAACAGGTATCAAGCAGGTCTCAAAAATCCATTTGCCTTTCTCATCAGATTGACACCCACATTTTACAATTGACTATTATATATGTACATGTATGTATGTACACACAAACACACATACATGACAGTGAGCTCTAGGTCATGTTCTTTGTATATAAGGTATTAAAACTATAAAATAGACATTGTTTTTTCAAGTTTATGAAAGACAAAACTGAGGCTCAGAAAGGTCAATATTCTTGCACAAACTTATGAAGCAATAAATAGTTCTGCCAGTAAATATCAAAAATTAAATTAGAAACAAGATCTTAATACGGAGCTTTTAAAACTTCATTAAACTCAAATAATGTTTGTAGTAGTTTCCTTTTAAATTAATCTATTCTAAACTTTGAAGCTAGCAGTAATGTAGAAATAAGATTAACATTTAGCTGAATTCATTTATGCATCCATATTTTCATCCTTGCTACTATATACTCAAAATCACATTCCTGGAAATAAATAAAGAAATGTAGAAAAAATGAAGACCCGATTAAAGTCCTAAAATTTCAAAGTAAGAGATTAATATGAGCAAAATGAATTCATTTACTGGGTAAAATTCCAGAAGAGTACACTTTTCTCTTAAAAATTCTTTCCACAAAGACCTTCTAAAGATGGCAGTAGTGATGAGGATAAGGAGAAAGATATGAATCTAAGACATTAGAAAATCAAAGTAAGTGATGGATCAGTGACAGGGTGAATGAGGACACAACGATAAGAGAATTACATGAACAGTCAGGAAACAAAATATAGTATTATATGTAACACCTGACCATTTATATGACCATTTATATTCATGCACATTTTTCATCTTTATAATGTATATGTGATGATGCTTCAAAGAAAAATAAAACCTGTAAAATAGAGGCTTTGAGTAACACTGAGAGGATTATAGGGTCTTTTAGAAACTGTTACTCAAATTAGTTCATGAACCAGTGACAACATCCCTCAATGACATTGAAAACATGCAGAACCCTTTGGTCTGTTAGTCACAAGATCCATCATATCAGAATCAACATTTCACAAATTCTCAGGTAATCTATATACATTATGGCTTGCCAGGCCTTTCTCTAAGAAATAAAGTAGAGTTAATCTTCATTTTATCTAAATTGGTAAGAGTTCCAAAGAAGGAACAGAGAATGGGCAGGAGGTAAAGGAGAAAGAGCTCACACATCTTTTACTTCTTCAGTGCTCTTCTCACTGAACAGACTAGAGATCTACAATAAAGGGGTAGAGCATTATTGTTTCTCTAATTTCAATTTTACTTTTAAAATTGGAACATTTTAGGCATTTAGTATATTTTAAGCTTTCACTATTACCTAACTCCAGTAGACATTTATAATGAAAATTACTTAAATAAGATAATTACTAAAGTCATCATATTGAAAACCTCAAAATAATATCTTGGGGAAAGTACATGAAGAATCATTCCAGAGATAGCATAGCCCAAGGAAAACAATAAAGAACAAGCAATTGGGAATTCTATATGTAGATCTATAGAACTGATAGATCTGGTAATATATTGCTTAGAAAATAGAAAATACTTCAAAATATATGTTCTAGTTCTTGATAATTGTATTGTTTTTTCATGGTTCAGCTGTCCTTCTGAAACTCCCTTATTTCATCAATCTACCAGAGATTACCCCAAAATCTTATTTGCAGAAATTTTCAAGATCTATAATAATGTATTTATCTATGTATTTGTTTAAGCTCCATAGTGCAACATTAGGTTTGTTGTTTTTGTCTCTTTAGTCAACCAGTAAACATTAATCAATCATATTGAACAGTTAAATAAATAAATATTGGCCGAGGAAATGAATAAAATAATGTACTAATACAAATGTTCATTTTGCTAGTATCTATTAATACAAAAAATTAAATGAGTATATTTGACTTTCAGGGTTTAACTAGATTATGTGTATTTTATTCCTAAATCCTTTTAGTATTGCACTGTTTAAAATATTCTTTCCTGTTTTTCTACACATTCCCGAGTTTCTGTCTTAATCTTGATTGTAACTATGATCTCCATAACCACTGAAAATATGTAGATTTGGTGAGAACTATTTTAAGTTTGAAGCAGATATATGCCACATTTATAAAGCACAAAACAAAATAATTGTGTTTCTGTATAGGAATTCTAGAGTCTCCTATCAAACTTCTTTCACAGCAGTGGTCTCATATAGAGAAATTCATTACATTCACCACTAGGTGGTGTGGTAGCCCAGATGGAAAGCAAATACCTGAGTATCAAATTTCCTACCCTAATTCCAACTCTTAAATTTGTAAATACTTCCACCCTTACATCCTTAATAATGGCTATAGGGCTCTTGTATGTAAGCTTAAAGATATTGAAAAATTTAAATCAAAGCTCTGTATAGTTCTTGGGGAAACAATGCCCTGAAAAAGATGAAATTTAAAAAATAAATCCCCTCCCACATGGGGAAATATTTCATTACTAACTTAAGTGTATTAAGAGACAGTTTTCTTATATACAAAATTTACTTCTATTAAAATGTAATGCTTCACTTTGAGAATTTGGTTAAATATTAAAAAGCATTATAAAATTAGAAATACCTGCTGTAAAGTATTCCAATGGCCATACTGAAGAATTTCTAATGTGCTCAGAGGAGGCATCGTATTAGCTAGGCATTTCAAAGGTCTCTTTCTTTTAACAATTTTTTTCTGTTGATTTTGACTGAAAATTTCAAACCAAGGTTTAAATGATTTTAGCCAAGCTAGTCTCTTCTCCTCAATAGAAGATAAAAGTGTTGACTCTAGTGTAGAGGTTGTGATCTGTTCACATTCAGCCCTATTTTCATAGCACTCCTCTGGAATTTCATTAATCTCAGATATAAAAGAGTTTTCTTTGTTAGCAATCCAGGAGATTTTTTTATTACAGCCACTAAAATCTTCATGAAGAGCAAGTCTATCCAAAAAGTAATCTTGCTTATTTATTTTGCCTTCTCTATTTACCATGGCATCAGTGATGTTAAAGAACATAATGTCACTATTTAGAGTATTGCCTTTTGAGTTTTCTTCAGCTTCTTTGGATTTTAAGTTAATTTCTTTTTCTTGTAGTATTGGATATTCCTCCATAGTTTCAGCATTTTCTAATTTTAATGGTAGTAGTTTTTGATTTATTGAAATAATGGAAGTATTCTCTTCATATAATCCATTCCCTTGTGATATCTCTTCTTTTTCTACTTTCTGTATCATTTTCTGTTCATTAAATTCTATTATTTTCTGTGCTTCATTGCTCTTCACATCATTCATTTCTTCATTACATTCTAATACTACTATTTGGATTTTTCCCCCCTCATTTTCCTTTATGGCATATTCCACCCGTTCCTGGTTTTGTGTTTGTGTCTTTAATTCTTGCTGAAACTGTTCAATCATATTTTCTTTTAGATCTAAGATTTCTAATTCAGTTCTTTTGTACATATCTTCATATTTTATTTCTTGCTTAATCATTTTTTGAGAACACTGTTTTTTTGCTAGGCTTTCATTTGTTTCTTCTATTTTTAATTCTGCCAAAATGGCTTGGTTTGATTTCAATTGTTCTTGTATTGGTTCTTTCAAAACAAACTGACTACCTATATTTTCACTCTTATTTAATTTCTTAACTACCCAAAGAGGAACATTTTCCTGCTTCTTTGAATTTTCATACACTAATTCTTTGGCTATCTCACCCTTATTCTTTGACTTATCTTCAATAGTTATATGTTTGGCATTATGTTCTCCCTTCTTTAATGTGGTACTTATTATAAGCTGTTGGCTTGCAGCTTCTATTAATTTGAATTTTTCCTTGTTTTGTAATTCCTCTCTTTCTCGTCTCAGGATGTTCTTTTTTTCTTCATATACTTTTTCTCTCCTTTTCCTTTCCTCTTGCTTCTGTTTTTTTATTTCTTCTTCTATCCTTTGTTCTTCCTCTAATTTTTTCCTATTTTCTTCCTCTTTCTGTCGTATATTTGCTTCCTTTTCTTTCAACTCTTTTGCTTTCCTTTGTTTTCTTTCTATTCGGTCTCTAATTATGGGGCTATATTTTTGGTAGATTATGAATGCCTTATATTTAGCTTGAATTTTTACAGCTGCATTATGCTGCAGTTCTAACAAACGCATCTTTTCTTTTTTTTGTAGTTCCTTGAACCTTGTTCTTTCCTCTTCCATTTGTACATGCAAATTTCTCATAAATTCCTAAAATAAAGTAGGATAGTAATAACATAAACAAAATGTGTAATTTTATTCAAATATCATTTAAAATTGTAGATTAAAAATAAATATAAAAACTGAAATCATAATGAAATTGTGATAACATTCACTTAAAGCAATTAAAGTAATTTATTTTAAATGGTATTAATTTTTAAATATTTAAAAGACTGTCACATGGGTAAGTTGGTACTCTAAAATTATGAGGATAATAAACCACCTAAATTATAAAGATACTAAGCCACCTGGGTATAAATTGAGGGATTCTTTGAGATAGAAAGCATATGAAATCAGAAATTACACAAGAAAAAAAAGAAGGAAGGAAAGAATAAAAGAAAGAACAAAAGAAAGAAAGAGAGAGAGAAAGAGACAGAGAGAAACCACAAGCCAAAATTTATGCATGTGAAAAGGAATTCAAACATTCTGTGATGGGCAATCTGATAAAGGACATGGAGAGCTAGCACTGAACTACAGTGCATGAAATTCTCCTATGAGCCTTAGGATACCAAGAAGGTGAAGTAGCCCATGTGTGTAAGCAATATTAAGAAACAGTCTATTCACATATTTCATTCCTTCTCAGCTCTCAAGAAAGTTGATATATACATAAAATGAGATAATTTGGAGCTAGGTAAGAAAATATTGTTACCACTAGAATCTTAAAAAAAAAGCAAAAGGGTCAAAACATTCAGAAAATATTTAAGAGAAACTAACATAAGGATGTGAGATAATGCATTTAATAATGCACTATTATTAAATGCCTTATTATTAAAAGAAGTATAAATTTCTGAGCAAAGAGAACTATTACACTAGACAAAACCTTAAATGTAGATGATTTTTCAGAAAAAATATTTTTAAAAAACCTTACATAAACATAAAATGCAAGTGTTCAAATAAAAAATATGACTAACTCAAACAGAATGGTGAAAGTAAAATGGCAGAATGTGTGACTACCTAAAGAAAAACTTCAAAAATAAATATTTTCAAAAAAGACATGAAATATATGGCTATAGAGAGGGGGAGGGATAAGGAATTGACCAAAAGTAGCTTCAGAATAATAAGGCGGTGAGAAAAGAAAAGTGAAGGGAAGAAAATAGTAGAAAAATATGTATTTTAAAATAAAATGCCAAAGGACAAACAGCTGAGCTTATTTAACTCTCACACACAACCGATTTTGATAAGTGGTAGCAATATTTCAGAACCCAAAATAAGAGTTTCATGGAAAAAGAGCTCCACGAAAGCAAATACCATGTTCTTTTTTATTCACAATTATATTGCAAGCACTTAGAGAAGTATTTGACATATAACAGAAAACTATCACATATAAGCAGATGAATTTATTAAGTGAAAATCCTAAAAGCTTCAAAAGAATGTAAGGACTAACCATAAAACTTACAACTGGCAAAAATAAATAAATACGCAAGGAGCTACATCTTTAAATTACTGAAAATAAACACCAATGAATATGAATTATATTACCAAATAAACTAATTATTCAGTTTTGAAAACTAAATCAATACATTTTTAACTACAAAGACTATGCAAATTAACCATTCAAAAGTATTTTCTTAACAACTATTTAGCATATACTCCAGGAAAAGTAAAAAGAGTTACACTGATTAGGAGAAGACTCAGGACTAAAAAAAATACTAAAAAAAAAAAAAAAAAAAAAAGAAGTCATTAACATTTAACACTTTAATTTTATGTTCCATTGTCTTCTCCTTTCTAACATTTTGTTTTCAAATTCTACTGTTAGTTTTATTATTTTTTATCTGTTTTTAGGTAATGTGTTTTTCTTTTCCTCTAAGATGTCCCTAAGACTATTTTTTCCCGTGTCTTGAATTTCAGTAGCTGCACTATCAAATTCCCAGTGAAATTTTCTTTGTGCCTATCTTATTTATAAATCATTAGTCATCTCTGAATGTTCAGATTGATTTTTTAAGGTATTTGAACTTTTCAGACATTATATCCTTACCCATTGCTTCTGCTCCATTCTCTCCATGCTCTTCTTTCAAGATTATCAGACAATTTTTTAACTTTTCAATATCCATTATGTTTCTTATGCTCTTTGTTTTTCCCATTTTTTGTTCTCTTTGTACATTAATTTAAATATTTTCTATTGAACTCTCTTCTCTTTGATCAATACTCACATTTGCTATGTCAATGTACTGTCAAACTCATCCCATGAATTTTTAATTTTAATATTGAATTTTTAAACTCTAGAGCATATACTTGATATCTGATTATGCATTTTAATTCTCTAAAATATTACACATCACCTGTCTAACTTTTTTGTTAGTGATGATAGTTACAGTTATTTTACTGGCTCCACTAAATCCAGTATTTGGATTATATACAAGTGGGCTACTCTTCTCTTTTTTTCTTGGCATTCATATGAACCTATCTTTTCACATGCCTAATAAATTTTTAATTCAACAAAGGAAATAATCAATAAAGTAAAGAGAGTGCCCACACAGTAGGATAATATCTTTACTACATACACACCAAATAGAGCAGAAATCTCCAGGATAGATAAGAACTCAAAAAACTTCAGACCAAAAAAATAAATAACCCTATTGTAAATGGGCTAAGAAACTGAACAGATACTTCTCAGAAGTAATTAGTGAAATGCAATCAATACTGATCTTAGATTTCATCTCAATTCTGTCAGAATGATAATTATCAAGAAAACAAGCAATAATAAGTGTTGGTGAGGATGTGGAAAAAAAAAAAAGGTACACTCATATATTGCTGGTAGCACTGCAAATTAGTGCAACCACTATGGAAAGCAGTATGGAGATCCCTTAGAAAACTTGGAATGGAACCGCCATTTGACCTAACTATCCCACTCCTCAGTCTATAATCAAAGGACTTAAATCAGCATACTACAGTGACACAGCCACAACAATGTTCGTAGAAGCTCAATTCACAATAGCTAAACTGTGGAACCAACCTAGATGCCCTTCAGCAGATGGATAAGGAAACTGTGGTACATATACACGATGGAATACTACACAGTATTAAAAAAAAATAAAATTATGGCATTTGCAGGTAAACGGATGGAGTTAGAGAATATCATACTAAGCAAAGTAAGCCAAACCCCAAAAAACAAAGGCAGAATGTTCTCTCTGATAAGTGGATGCTGATGCATAATGGGGAGAAAGGTGAGAATGGAGGAACTCTGATTGGGCAAAGGAGAGGGAGGAAAAGTGGGGGCAAGGGAGCAGCAAAGATGGTGGAAGGAGAAAAACATCATTGACATAGGTACATGTATGACTGCACATGTGGTGCAACACTACATCATGTACAACCAGAGAAATGAAAAGTTGTGCTCTATTTGTGTACAATGAATCAAAATGTGCCCCCTTATGCATACCTAATTAGAACAAACTAAAAAAAAATCTACAGTAGAATGTAGTTTTTCAGAAGTGCATAAATACTAAAAAAGATTGAAAAAAAATACAAATAAAAGTAATAATATTTAGCTGGATAACATGATCACAGGAAACTTTATCTACTTAATATATATGATTACTTAAAATAATTTTATATAAAAACTGAAGTGAATAAAAACTAAAATTAATACATTTATTATCAAAAGAATCATCTTAAGTTCAAATGTATTATTTAACAATTAATTGTGTTCAACAAACAGTAACTCTTCTTAACCATCTTTAAACATAATGAAATCCTTGTAATAGTATCTTTCCTTAAATCTTAAATGAAATTTTAAAATTGCAGTTTTATAAAGACACATTCATTGAACTAGTTAATTATTATTTGCAGAACATTCCATTTCAAGGAGGGCTTCTGAGGATTTTTTTAATTGATTTTATTTTTTAAATACATGACAGCAAAATGCATTACAATTCTTATTATACATATAGAGCACAATGTTTCATATCTCTGGTTGTATATAAAGTATGTTCACACCAATTCATGTCTTCATATGTGTACTTTGGATAATGATGTCCATCACATTCCACCATCATTGCTGATCCCCTGCCCTTTCTCTTCCCCTCCCACCCCTCTGCCCTATCTAGAGTTTGTCTATTCCTCCCATGCTCTCCCTCCCTACCCCTCTATGAGTCAGTCAACTTATATCAGAGAAAACATTTGGCATTTGTTTTTTTTGGGAGGATTGGCTAACTTTACTTAGCATTATCTTATCCAACTCCATACATTTACCTGCAAATGCCATGATTTTCTTCTCTTTTCTGAGGATTTTTTTGATGCTGAAATAAATTCTATATCAGCTAGGCAATATTATTTTAAAAAGCTAATTTCAAGCATAATAATTTATTTCAAATGGAGAAAGAATAATGTACTGATTAAAAACAAAAAGTAAATACCTCATGCTGTTTAAATTTTTCTTTCCACATTTTCTCTTCTTCATGGAGCTCCTCATTCATCTTGTCTTGTTCTTGCTGAACACATGATAATAATAAAATGTTATTTTATTCACATACACATCTAAGATATTATATTCATTATATATGATTCTCACAATTTATATTTGTACACAGTGATTAAAGATGACAATGCATCAAAAAGTCCTAGTTTAAAAACTTTCAATTCAAATCCAGTGTGAAATTAAAGCATCAGATAAATAATACCTAGGATTCCCATTTTTAGGACACAAATATGTTTACAACCTAGGAAAGCTGTTTTAGTTATCTGAACATGTTGTTCATATAATGAAATATGTTGGCTAGAAATACTGTTTGATACTACAAAACTTATAAGTAACAACATTGCAAACTGACTTTTACATTATAATTGTTTTTTCTCTATACAGCATACCATTTAATTCACATAATAAATCAGTAAGTAATGGTTTTCCTTCAATACATTTTTATTAGGACATATTTAGTTAAGACTCTTCAGAATAAAATAAAATCAGTATAAAACAGAACCCTTCATCAAAAACTCAGCTTCTAGTATGGGAACAGTGCCACAAGTTTACACATTACCCCACTTAGCAGAATGAGTTTATCATAAGAGAAGAACTATAAAGGGTCACAGTAGGAATGGTTGTTATAATTACTGGACGGTGAAAAGTTTTATGCAGGATATTATACTTGAAATGACTAAGTTTTCAAGAGGTAGAGTAGATATTTTCAGAATCTACTAAGGATTTCAAATAAAGAAAATGAATAAAGCTATATTTTCAGGAAAATATTAAGTTTATTTCAAATAGAATTTTGGGAATAACAAGAGGAATACTAAGATCAGTGTGGAAAGTAAGATTTCTGTGTGAGAATCACTGAGAGCCTTCTGTAGATACAGTGGCAGGAGTGATAATAGAAGTGAAAACCATGTTAATGTGGGGCTGTGGTTGTGGCTCAGTAGTAGATCAAGTTGCCTAGCATGTGTGAGGCACTGGGCTCAATTCTCAGCACCACATATAAATAAATAAATGTCCACCAACAACTAATAAAGATATTTTAAAAACATATTAATGTGAAATTGTTAAAAATCACCAACTGAATAGATACAAAGGAAGGGGAGAATTTTCTTTGAACCCATCTTATTCAACATGTGGTGCCTTTTGATGACATATAAATGGGGAAATAAATTTTTAAAAATAGCCTTTTGATAGCACTGTGTATAAGGCCAAAACAATTATGAAGTATAGTATACATTCTAGGCTAAACACTCAGAAAGGTTGAGCTACTTGAAAGTATCAGTAATATGTATTTAAGAGAAGATGGATGAAACAACTATTAGAGGGAAAAAAGCAATAAAAAGAGAGGTAAGGGTAAAAAAATCATTTTCTTTCTCTCTCTCTCTCTCTCTCTCTCTCTCTCTCTCTCTCTCTCTCTCTCTCCATTCCTGGCCCCCCTCTCTTTTGGTTCATTAGCTTAGACTAATAACTGCTTTGCTTACTGAATTTAAGAGAACCAGAGGAGAAACACAATTCAGATAAAAAGATAATGCATTCAGTTTTAGATATAAAAAGTATAGGAGAATTACATAATATACTTTATTTTGTTATAAAAATAGATTTGGTTCTGAACAGGCATAGCTATGGATGAGGTTGCCAAAAAAGTGTATGGATTAATAAAACAAAAAAGACAAAGGGTGGAATTCTTGATAGTATCATTTACAAGGACAGCAAGAAAAAGAGAAGTGTAATATTGGCATATTTTATTATCATATAGTATGTGTATATGAACATGCAACAATGAATCCTACTATTATATACAAATATAATGGCCCTGTAAAATGTGGAAAAAAACAAAAGAAAGAATAATAAGCCTGAAACAGACATGGAGGAGGATATAATAAACATGTAAGAAGGGAATAAAGACAGAATGACTCCCATATAAATCAAGAGGAAAGAAAATGGCCCCAAATCAAAATTTTGCAGGCATAAAATGCTTCAGAGGCCTATAAGAACCAAGAAAAAGCCTCAGAATATGGTGTTTAGAGATCATGGATTTTCTTTTTGAAGAGCCATTTTTTTTGTTCAGTGGAGTAACCATGCAAGAACCCTAGCAGATTTAGTATCATATCAGGGATGAGGTAGGAATATAACGAAAATAATTATTTTTTAAGAAGCTTGTCTATAAGTAAATCTAAAGAGCATCTAACGTGAGACAAAACAAAGGTTGCCACATGATTTTCTTTTCTTCTTAGGATGGGAGAAAACTGAACCTATTGATAAAGAATAAGAAACAAGGAAGGGCTGGGGTTGTGGCTCAGTGGTAGAGTGCTTGCCTAACAGGCATGAGGACTGGATTCGATCCCCAGGAACACATAAAAATAAACAAATAAATAAGGCATTGTGTCCATAAAAAATGAGTAAGAAGGAAGCTGATAGAGGTGTTTAAGTGTATAGAAAACAAGCAAGGGTAAGTTGAAAATGGCAGACTATAAAGCTAAGGAGAAAAGATAACCTTTGACAGAAAGAAGAAAGATTCTTACTGGGAGGAAGCAAGGCAAAAAAAAAAAAAAAAAAAGGATGAGCAAAGATGTTGAGGCTAACCAGAAACCAGATGTTGGATTAGATAAAAGAAGCAGTCTATGATTGATGCAAAAAATATAATGTGATTATTTGTAAACAACAAGAGAGGAAGAGTAGGATGGAACCGCTAAGATTTATGACAACCATTTAGGGTAAGGAAAGCTCACAAAAAGCATAGAAAAGAAATACTGGGAAGGTAGTAAATTTTGTATTTAGAATACAGCATAAAATTGTGGAATAGTATAATTGGAAAAATTTTATGTTCTAAGGCATAATAAAGTACAAACTCGTTAATTCATTCACTCATCACATTTTTCTTTAATAATTTTATAATAAATGCTGATTAGCTTCAAAGAGTGTATTACAATTCTAATTTTTTTTAGTAAGATGGATTGAATTCAGGGGCACTAGACCACTAAGCTACATCTCCAGAACTATTTTGTATTTTATTTAGAGACAAGGTCTCACTGAATTGCTTAGCACCTGGCTTTTGCTGAGGCTGGCTTTGAACTCATGATCCTTCTGCCTTAGCCTTCAGAGCTGGTGGGATTACAGGCAAGCACCATCACACCTGGAAAGTTACAATTCTTTCATAGTGGGGATTTCTTTGATATTATCTAAGCACACAGGTGAATACTTTGCCCTTGAAGAAGTCAGTAAATTTTTATTATCATGCAAATAAAAACAACAACTTCACTAAGTAGAATTCAAAAATCAGATGTTTTCTAAATCTGAAAATACCACTAACACTCAATTTCATTTATGTATTTCAGCACAAGCTAGAAAATACTCCCTCTCATAAGCTACATTATATTCAAACCTTTTCTGGAATTTTAAAAGAAGTTTCTAGTTTTAGAAATGACTATGTTATTGTGGTTTGTGCAAAGGAAAATATAACTACAGAAAAGTTATACATAACTACTAGAAAAGATTCCACAACATTTTTAAAATTGTTTTTAGATATTGATGAACTTTTATTTTATATTTATTTATATGCAGTGCTGAGAATTGAACCCAGTGCCTCACACTTGCTAGGCAAGTGCTCTATACTGACCCACAACCCAGCCTTAAGGTTCTACAATATTATAAAACTTTTTCTACAAAATTATGAGAGTTTTTAGTCTATTTATTTTTTATATAATCAAGAAATAAAATGTACTCAACATGGAGGGTTAGAATACTCTGAGTTGCCAAAATAATTACATGCAAATGTTCTCTATATGTAACAGTCAAAGTCATCAAGTTCTGGATAATACATCTATCAACTTTGGTAATAAAAGACAAGACATGGTCTTGCTTGTTACCTAGACAATCTAAGACCTTTATGACCTACATGTAGGATTCTAAAATCCTCAGTTTCTCAATATGCCACTATGAAGACTTGACTGTGGATATCAGACAGTTTGGACACACAAAACAGAAATAAAAACAAGTTCAAAACTCTGTGAACTCCAACGAATTAGCTCAGTTATCAGGACATAGAATATCTCCTAAATGGTTGAACTACTTCTACCAAATATGTCATACTACATATTCTACATAATATATCACACGCTAGATCACATAGCAAAGGCACTGTTTAATCAATAAAGCTGCTATGTTTTCCTAAATTTATAATGTTATGGAAAAAAGCAAGTTTATATTATAAATTTCAGAATATATAGCATGATCTTTGAAACTTCATATACTCCAGGGCTCCTAAGATACAAAGAAGTATATGAAATTCCTGTGCAATCTAATCAAGTAGCCCATACTAAATATCATTAATTCACAATAAATTGCTTCCATTACCAGGAGCAATTAAAATCCACAGAATAAATTTCAATCTACACTGTAATACAAACAGCAATATTCTTCATAGGTAGCTACATTTAAACAATAGGTACATGACTTCTAAAATACATGAAAAAATCAGAACCAAAATGTACCTTCTGTATATTCTCTAATTTTTTCTTTTCAACCTCAAATTGTTTCATCCAGCAATGTCTCTTTTCTTCTTCCTCTTGAAATTGCTTTTCTTCTTTATCCCTCTGAGCTTTGAGAATTTCTTTATCTTTATCTTCTAGTTCTTTCTGTTTGTCTTGCCAGGCTTCAAAAGACTGTCTACATCTTTCTTCAACTTCAAAATATCCAAAATTTATATCAGCATCATCTGCATTCATAAAGAATAATAACAGTGTTATTCTTAAAATCAAATCTGTACAATGTGAATCAATTTAACACATAAAAGTAAATTTGGCTGGTTGCTGTGGTACATGTCTACAATCCCAGCAAACACAGTAAACTGAGGCAGGAGAATCATAAATTCGCGATCAGCCTCGCAACTTAGTGAGGCCCTAAGCAACTTAGGATAACACTGTCTCCAAAAATAAAAGTGCTGAAGAGGTGGCACAGTGATTAATTGCCTCTGGGTTCAATCCCTGGTACCCCCCCCAAAAAAAACAATAAAAAACCCATAATTTTAGATAATTAACATAAATATATTAAAAAAGAAAAGTTATAATATGCAAACACTTTATTGAATACACATGGACATTCCACTGCAGTCAATAAAGAAGCAAAAATACTTGCCTTGCCTTAAAATATTCCATAAAAAGAAAACTATCCAATATTTTTTCAGATAACTATGATTTATCATACAAATTGTCAAAAATATTGAGCAGTGTGGCACACCTGGTAAAGCATGTTCATCCATAGACAATTCACAAAGATCAGGCTCAGGAACCAAATCAGGATTCTCACAATGGGATTTACTTCTCATAAATTCTTCTTTTTCTATTTCAGTTAATATCTAAGAGGTTAAAAGAGTACCAATAATTAAATGAAATCAAGATAAAATAAAATTATGACTTAAGTAGTGAATTAAACATATATAATATAGAATTTTACTTTCTAAAACCTCTGTATATACAAATCTATAGTGCATTGATAATTATTTTCCTCATGAATAAAAATATTTTCACATTCAGAAAATATTTTACCCTCTCAATGTTTTCCAAACCCTAATCATTTTTCAAAATAATTTTTTGATAGTAGATAGACATAATACCTTTATTTAATTATTTTTATGTGGTACTGAGGATGAAACCCATTGCCTCATACAAGCTAGGCAAGCACTCTACCATTGAGCTGCAACCCCAGGGCTCAATTCATTTTAAGATTAATCTACCATCTTTAGTTAATATGTTTGATATTTTTTCAAAATGTTTCTATTAATAACTATTTTTCTAATGCATTTCTTTCTTAGGTATAGTGATTGTTCCTGCATAAAAAATTATTAATGAATTCAATATGACAAAAAAGAGAGCTAAAAATTCTCTATTTACCCTGAATTATGCAAAAGTGATAATTTTGATCAACACTTATCCATAATTTTATTCCTATAATACTCCAGTTGGAAAGATAGAAGATATTTACTCCAATGAATCAGCAGCATGATAATTTAAAAAAAATATTCTAATTTATAGTACCACAGAAAGAGTAAGAGTCAAAATTTTAAAATTATATTAAACATCTTAAGTAGAAACAGAGTTAGATAAGAGAGAGGTAAAATGAGAGTAAATTGAACCCAATGAATAAATCTGAGGAAGAGATTCTCTTCAATATATTTGTGAGGTTTTAACCCAATAAAATGCTACACTCCCTTTTAATTTTATTTTTAAGAATCCTTTCTTTTATCTGCTTTTAAAAAGTAATATAACCTCTTATACATTCAAAGTTTCTATACAGTATTTAAGGTCTTTGCTGAAACATCGTAAATTTCTAAGAAAGACAGTAAACACAAGAATATACTCATTGTTTTCCTCTGAACATTTAGGAAAAAAATATCATGCATACTGGTTTATCTATATGAACATTAAATTTACAAATACTGATGGCTCAAATTATTATTTTAATGTTCTCACAGATTGAAATTTGTGTGGTTTCATATACCATTCAAGAGGAAACCATAAAATAAAAAATGACTTGTTTAAAAACAATCATTTTAAATCAGTGAACTTAAAATCAATGAACTCTCATCCTATGTAAGCTTAAAAGACAAATTTCTAATTGCAATATTGAGTATTTTCTGTCAAATGTTGAACATATACCTTCATTAGTTGTTCCTGATTTTCTTTATATTCAGTTGATAATCCTATCCTTAAATGCATATGATTATCAGAAACTGTTCCATAACTATAGCCTAAAAAAGGAAAATATATTATAATATTTTACAAAAAGTTTATAATACTTTATAAATGTAATTTTGAATATTAGAGTACAACATGCCAAAATCTTAAACACCTTCATCATCCTTTAATTTCAGCTTTTATGAGAATAACTTCTTGATCAGCAATAGAAACTCAATAGAACAGAAAAATGAATAAAGAAGAGAGGACATTTGTTGTATTTATTTTAAAAGTAAAAGCAATAAATTTCTAAAGCACTATTAACTCTTTACCATTTTAAAATTCTAAGCTGAGGTTTATTTTCTATGAATTCAGAATCATATAATGTATAATGTTGCAATGGCACCTTGATTAGAAATCAATAAATGTTCAATTATACCTGCCACAAACTAGCAATATAATCCTGCACAAGATAATGAAATTACTATAAGAAAAATATTAATTAATAATTAATATAATGAAGTTAAAACTTATTCCTTATTTAACAAAATTTTGTTGAATTTTATTGTCTTTTTATTGTCTGCTGAAATGTATTACATTTCTTTTTCTTTATTCAATTAATGTGTCATATCATGGTAATGCTCCCATTCTTCTTGTTAACTAATTATTAACCCCTATTTGGTCATATATATTTTCTCCATCAATACCAATTCAAAATGTATCTGACATGCCTTTCTGTATGAGATGCTGAAAAGAAAAAATAAATTATCCAGATTACTTTGCAGCTAAGTTTCTACACATAGATATATTTTTCCTAAGTCTTCAATGTCATATCAATAGTAAGTGTAAAGAGAAGTTTTTGATATTTTCATCTATCTGGCCCACACTGTGATGATATAGGAGACTTTGAGTTGGAGACAGGAGTGTGTAGGAAAGAATTTATATCTCTGAACTTCTTAATTATGACAGAAACTTCTTCTGCACTACAGTTCTCAAATGTATGGTGAGGTTGTTTTATGTCTTGGATACAGAGCCTAAAGTCTGGGTCTCTTCAGTCCTGTGAACAGTAATTTATTGCAGTAGCTAGTCATCAAAAATGATTCTTCCAAAGAACTATGCCTCCTGTACGCATGTCCTATGTAGTTCCCTCCTACACTGAAACTAAACTAATGCTATGTAACTAAACAGGATGTGGTAGATATGATACTGTCTGACTTCTAAAAATAGATCATAAGTCTTAGGTTCCACCTTAGTCTCTTGGTATTTTGTCTCAGAACATTGAGTTTCAGAATTCAAATGTTATATAATGAGAAATATAAGCCAAAAGAAAAGGCTACATGAAGATGCCTCCAGTTGACAGGTACTTAGCTGAATTCCCCAATCAATAAGCTACATGAATTGCCAGGCATGTGAATGAGCCCTCTTGGAATCCCAGTGCAGTTGAGCTTCCAGAGGACAGATAGATGTAATCAACATTCAACAAAAATGCATAATAATCCAGGGAACAACTGCCCAGCTGAGCCCAGTCAACTCACAGAATCATAGATATTTTTTAAAATGTTATTTTAAGCCACTAATTTCATTTCACAACAATAAATATTCAGCACATTTATTCTCCCTATAAAACTAAACAAAAATCTTACTGCTTAGAGTGGCTCTGTTTTCTACAACTGAGGTTTCCAATCAATACAACTGTAAATTACCCTCCAATTTATTTTGTATGCTATCTTTATACAGATTTAATTTAAAATATATAGCTTTTTAAAGTGAATTATTATATAATATGAAAATTTTTGCTTCTTGACGTGCTGTAAGAATTCAGTTGCAAATTTTTTCCTAGTTCATTAACACTGAAGAAGAAATTCCTTTCTCCCTTCTTGCTATACTATTGATTTATTCATGTTTTTTAATTTTACATTTTTGATAATTTGAATTTCTTTGGAAAATTATTCCTTGATGTTATCAAATCTATTGTATTAGAGTTGTACATGAGAACTTCTCATAATCTTCTGAACCACTGTTTAATGTAGCTTTATCTTCTTTCATGAAACTAATTTTCTACAATTGTGTTTTCTTTGAATTTTATAATTTGATTATATGATTGTCAATATATTTGTAATATATTTTCATTATATAAATCTTAGTAAAAATAAACTATTAGAATCCCTCATAGTTTAATCATAGTAAATATTATATATCTATTTATAATGGTACTACTGTCAGAAAACATGAAGTCACCCTTCCTCTTCTTTTTTGCATCAATCCATTAGTAAATCCTTTTTTACTGTACCCTAAAAATGGTTGCCAGAACATGACCACTGTCCCTCATTTCTATTCAATCGATTCATCTCTAACCATATAATTCCAAGTCTTGTTGTAATATGGCTATGTCAATGTGTTCTTTCTACATAATTAGCAGAATGCAACTAAAATACTGCTCAAAATGTAAGTCAGATACTCTGCTTACTCACTGCTCAAATATCAATGTCTCATAGAGACTCCTCTAACTGCCTTATTTAAAATAGCAACTTCCAGTCTCTATCCCATTATCTTGCATTTCTTCTTTCATAGCAGTTATCACTATTGTAATATTCCAAATTTATTTGTTTATTGTTTGTCTCCCCACACTGAAACAGTAGAACAGAAGAGTAAGACCTTTACCTGTTTTGTTCACTGCTGTATTCTCAGTGACTACAACAGATTCTGTTATAACAGTAATATTTGTTGAATGGATATCTCTGAATATCCATATTATAATTTATGCTATTTTCATAAAATATGTTGAACTTTAAAAGTTTTTAATAACAAAACATGACAAAACATGGACATTTTTAGATAGTTAAATTATTGATCCAAGTCCTATTTTTTAATGCAAGTATTATTGGACAAATCAAGGTCTGGTTGAACAATTAGCTTATTATCAATTTTCATGATAAGACAAGAAGTGATTAATTCTAGTTAAATTTTGATCATTCCATTATTAGAATAATTCTAAGTAATATTGCCCAGTTCAAGCAAATAAAGTTTGTTAGGCTTTTGTATACAAAGAATTATTTCCTTCCAAAAATGTGTGCATATTGATACTTTTAAAATAGTCCCATACTCAATTTTCTTTTCTTTAATGTAAAGTAATAGGAATCTGGTAATAATTAAAAGTGTGGAAATAAGAATAGGCATGGGGACACACAACTGTAATCCCAGCAGCTAGGAAGGAAGCCTGAGACAGGAAGATAACTCAAAGGTAGCCTCTGTAATTTACCAAGGCCCTAAACAATTTAGCAATACCCTGTCTCAAAATAAAATATAAAAAGGGCCAGACATGTGGCTCAGTGGTTAAGCAACTCTGGATTCAAACTCTGGAACCAAATGAAAAAAGAAAATAACTGGGGAAACAAAATTATTTATAGAGGTATAATGAAGATAGTAAGAAAAAAATATATACTACATCTGATAGTCCATAATACTATAGATATTTTATTAGTGATAAAGGTACATTCATGTACATAGCACAAGATAAGAACAGTGAACAACTTAGTTTGCTTAATTATGTTATCCAAACTTAGTGAAAACTTATCTGCCAATCAAATGAAATCTGAACTTACTTAAAACATTGGTGTCTTCTAAATCCTGAAGGAGGAGTTCTTCAACAGTTTTACTCTTGTTCTTTATAATGTTGATGCAGTGAAGAACTGACTCTGGTAATTCTTCTAAATCCTAAAATAAAAATTACACATAAAATATTCCTCTTTAAAAATTTGAGCAAAATGTGTAAAGGAGGTAAAAGGGCTACAAAAAAGGTAAAGTTCAGACAAATATTTTGCTAAAATTTGCTTTTTACTTTATTTTATGAAGACCCTAACAAAACAAATGAAAAGTTACCTACATATGATTTTATTAACTTTATTACAAGCTGTTTATTTTTAAGTGTCCTTAATTATTGTGTATATTTTAGATTTGTCTCAATGAATTTTATCAACTATTAATGAAAATTGCAAAGTTTTTTCCAAAAAATATATAGGACCTAAATAGAAGAACCAATAACTTATATAAGAAATTAATACTTTCCAAAATTTACTCTATGACTATGAAACACAAAGTTAGTCAAATTCATGAATCACAGGCTGGGGATGTGGCTCAAGCGGTAGCGCGCTCGCCTGGCATGCTTGCGGCCCGGGTTCCATCCTCAGCACCATATACAAACAAAGATGTTGTGTCCGCCAAACTAAAAAATAAATATTAAAACATTCTCTCTCTCTCTCTCTCTCTCT